AAAGCTGAGCTTGCCCAGAGCATCCACACGGGAATTTTGGAGAGCTCCATAAGCCTTGCACAGCCAGTGCATCAGTACAGGATGACATTTGCTCTGGGGTCCTTCCACACTTCTTCGTGCCACCTCCCAGTAGTGAGGGGAGGGAAAGCCACCTCAGGAATGCTGCTCTGATCTAGTGGATGCTCTCTCTGGGACACCCAAACAATATAAACAGGCACAGGTTTTTCTCCGTTTTTCTCATGCTCCTCTGAAATGTTGTTTCAGGTCATTCATTAAACGTGGAACATCATTTATATTCCACTTATATAGTATTTATATTCCATTTATATAGTGTCATCAAACTGCACTTTTAAGCATAATAGACAATTCTTCCGGTTTCATTTTCCAGTCACATCCAGTGAGTTTGACAATGAAATTTAAATTAAATATTTACTGGCTGACAAGAAGTTTTTCTTTGGCTCATCTGGTACAGAGGAAACTCAGTCAAATGAATGTTCTAGAAACCAGTTTGTGAAAGCTCGAGAGACTCTGAGTCAGAGTTTGCCTTCTCTGGACAGGAAGCTGCCTCTGAGATGAATTTTGGGATTTGGTGTTGGTCAGGTGTCCATTCTGCCCCCCAACAAGCTGTGAGGGGATGGGGTGACAGTGGAGAACTAGGAACTTGAATCCTTTCTGCAGAGTGGATTTGCTTCCTGTGCTGATCCCAGTGGCTATACCCAGGAGGAGGCAGCCAGGAGGCCGTTGAAAACTTCTGATTAAAAGCCAGATTTTTTATGAAAATTATCCCTTTGGTAGAAGTTATCAGACAGGCCAAGGTAACCTGGGCCTTAATCAAAACAGTAGTTCGTTGCATTGAGGTATTTCAATTATTATCACTGCTATAAAAAAAAATGAGTCATTTGAGTCGTTATCTCTCCGAGATACATTGTCCCCGCTCAACAAGGTACATTGGATTGCTGTAAAGCAAAAGATAATTTTATTCTGTGGCAAAGCTTAATGGCTTTTTTTGTTTGCTTTGGAGTGGGGGTTTTTGGGGGGTTTTTTGGTGGTGGTGGTGGCCTTTTTACCTTGTGTCATTGACATCCTTCATGTAGCAACATGAAGGACACATCCTCTGTAGCACTGAAAGCTTTTTTTCCCAGTAGTACCAGAAGAGATTTTTACCCAAAAGCAAAAAGAAAAATGGGTCATGAATTGTACTTACAAACAAGTTTGCAAAGCTCACTGTCTAAGGCAGTGGTTCTACTTAAAATGGGGTCATCATATCAACTCCACATCACAAAATTAAGTCTGAGGTGAAAAGACAAAGTGCTTTTTTTATTGTGGTTTTGGTTTTAGGATTGTTTTTTCTGCCTTGGTCAGCATGGGTTTGTAGTGGACTGACTTCTTCAAGGCAAATCAAAACTGGCCCAGTGTGTGTCCAAATTTCCAAAGTATTGATGAATCCTCTCTAATGAATTTTAGCCTAGTCAGTCTTTGGAACTTCCTTTCCTCCACCATCAGTTACAGGAGAGCACACAGGGACAAACCTAAAGGTAAAATCAATAAGAATTTTCCTTAGAAAGGTTCTAAGTAGAATAGAATTCTAAGTAGGACAGAAATGACAGACATGTCAACAATTGCTAAACAGTTGGGGTTTTTCTAACACATTATTCAATTTAGGTAGGGCAGAAATAGCTCCATGACTGCAAATGTTTGAGTTTTGTGTGGGAGTGCTGAGAAAGACATTCATTGAAAATATAAATAAATGAGTATTTCAGGACAAGTAAAGTCTGACTTTGAAATGTTTGGACTAAACAACAGATGTTGAGGTTGCTGCAGATCAGGAATAACGAGAAAAATCACTGATTGGTGACTTCCCTCTGGTCCTTTGCACTGATATGCCTTAAACCCAAGTGTCTTGCTGGTTTTATTTAACTCTCCTTTCAAGTATCTCCTTTAAGTCTCTCCTTTTTCTCTTTTCTAAAAACGACTTTGAGGGAAATATATCCAGGGAAGTTATTACAAATAAATGCCACCTTTAATCTTATTTTAGCCTTTCTTAAGGTTTTCTTCTTTCTGCCATGCATGGGAACGACTTACGGGAGCTCAAACACTGACTTTCCCTCAGTAAAGAGTTTGGATAATTTACAAGGAGCAGTAGAAAATGGACAATAAGGTACTAAAATAATAGTATTTCAACAATAGGTTCTCCATCAAGACCACCTGTAAGCTTGCAGTAAGTTGGCATCAAGTCTTCAGTAGAGAGTAGATGTGTTATGCTCTGTAATTTTAAAGCAAAACAAAACATAAAATTAAAGGAACCAGGAATGACAGGGGAGAAAGCTAATTGTTGAAAATTAAGTGGTGATGTGGTGGACTGGGATGGCAAGCAGAGGATGCAGGACAATGTGGACAGGAGGCCTCGTGGGGTGGAAGGGGGATCACATAGAGCACATGAGCCTGAAACACTGATCTTATAAAATGATGATAAATTGTGTTACTGATGTAGTTGAGAAATGAAACACTTGTTATTTTTGAGGAAAATCAGACCCCAAAAATTCCAGTCAATCCTCACGGCTTTGCATAGACACTGGAATTCCAAGAGTGTAGCTGGTTTTTTTCTAGATCTGATCTGTATTTGTGCAGATAGTTATAACTATTTTCATCGGTCCTGTGACTCTCCTATGCTCTGAAATCACTTCAAAATCAAAAATTTGTGGAAGATTTAACCTGAGTTACTTTTACAAACACAAATAATATTTTTTGTATTTTTAAATATCACTTCAAGTGCTGCCTACTTAGGAACTGAAATATGCAGTTAAACATGAAAAATCTATTTAAGGATGTGTTCATTTGTGCTGAGCGTGTCATGTAATGAAAAGCAATCCTTTTATTATTGTTATTTTAATTATCTTCATTATCATTAATTTTAATCTCTCATTCATAGACACTGTACACTTAGTCATTGTCTGTTAGCAATTATAAACAGCAAGACCTTAGCTGCCTTTAAATTAAAATTGCTTCCTAGTTAGTGTTTATTGCACAGGAACAAAATGTTACATTTTATTATGTTCTCAACAGGACCTGTAAGGCTCAGTTGGAGATAGGCAATAAACACCGCAGCATTCTCATAAATCACAATTTTGCATATAATTACTGTAAGCATATAAAAGTAAAATTTCAGTTATTCCCCTGTTACCAGCCAGCTCTGGTCCAGGAATTGATTCAGCCTCCACTGCAGAGTCTCCACAACACCATTTGTTCCAGCAGCTCAGATTTCCCTCATTTCAGTGCTATGAACAGTTCACACCATTTTACATATTAAGTCTGCTTATATTTTTTTGCATCTGACATCATGTGGTGGAGAAAATCCAGTCCCTCCCTTATGGCCTAGATCACTCTTGCTGTCCTTCATGGCATCCTCCCTGGAAAACCTGTTTTCCGTAAGATCCCTATATACATTTTTAATCAGTTTGTTGTCCAGTCAGTATTTCTACTACAGCAAAGTGGCCTTACAGCTGCTGAAGTTGTGCTGAAGAATAGGATGTAACAGAATTGGCGGGTGTTTATTTATGAATTGGGCAAATGTGTATTTATGAAATGGACAAGTGTGTGTTTATGAATTGGACAAGTGTGTGTTTATGAATTGGGCAAATGTGTGTTTATGAAAGGGAAGAGTGTGTGTTTATGAATGGGACAACTGTGTCAATGGCAGTAGAAAGACATTGATCTCCCTGAAAGAAGTTCTCTTGTTCAAAGCCTACCAATCTGGTCTTTGGTTATGTTTTGTGATCAAAAGCTTGGTAATTTTTTTTCTCAGTAGAAAATATGAAGATCAAATATGAGAAACTATCAAAGAGCTGCTTAGGTTGTACTAAGATGAATCAGTAAATTTATAAAAACCCTGACACACGTCATTGTAGGTTATGACAAGGAACTTTAAGGTGTAAGTCACAGCTAACCTGAATTTGTCAAGATAAAAAGTCATGCCAAACCAGTCTAACTGCCCTCTGCTTGGCAGGGCACCACAACAGCACAGCAGTGAGTGCCCAGAGAGGGCTGTGGGATCGCAGGGGCTGTGGGGACAGACTTCAAACCTTGCAAGTTTGGAGGTGGAAATGAGGGCACACAGGTAAGGTCTCACCTGAAACACAGTCTTCAGGCGCTGTTCTTCAGAGGCTGAACTCTCAAAATAAGTCATCTGTGTCTCCTCTCATATATATATATATATATGTATATGTGTGTATATATATAGATATACGTATAAATATAGATTTATTTATTTATTTTTATATGTAAGTAATAAGAGTAGCAAACAGAACAGATTTGCGGGAAGGTTCTGGTATTTCTGTCACTGTAATTTTAAAGCAAAATCAGACCGAGACCTGAGATAGATAGATAGATATGTATATGTATGTGTGTGTGTGTATACATACAAACACACACGCACATATATATAGATACACACAGAGAGAGAGATTAACAACAGTAGCCAAAATCTAGAATAGATTTTCAGGAAGGTTCTGGTATCTCTGCCACTGTAAGTTCAAAACAAAATCAGATCAAGAGCTGACATTGATATATATACATATATGTGTGTGTGTGTGTGTGTATGTGTATGTATACATACATAACACAACAAGAGTAGCCAACACCTAGAACAGATTTGCAGGAGCGTTCTGGTATCTCGGCCGCTGCAGTTTCAGAGCAAAGTCAGGCCAAGAGCCGGCGGTGCCTGTCAGTCCCTGAGCCGGGGACGTTCCCTGGTGTGTGTCCCCCGCCCAGGGCCGGCACTGGCGGCTCCTGCAGCCGCAGGAGGGGTGACACCAGCGGGGACACCGAGGTTGAGGGACCAGCGGGGACACCGAGGTTGAGGGGCCGGCGGTGCCCCCAGAGCCGCCATCGGCCCGGCCGTGCCCTCAGCGCTTCCCCCTCAGCGCTTCCCCCTCAGCGCTTCTCCCTCAGCGCTTCCCCCTCAGCGCTTCCCGCCTTCCCGGCCCGTCCCTGCCCGCGGGCTGAGGAGCCGCCCGGGACCCCCAGAGCCGCCCGGGACCCCCAGAGCCGCCCGTTCCCCGTTAGGAAGCAGGAGCGAAGGCAGTCCCTGCGTGTGCCGAGGTACAGAGCCAGCCCTGCCCCTCGCCGGGGTCCCGCTGCTCACACCCCCCCGTGCCCCAGCCCATGGCCCGGTTGTCGAACGCGGCGGTTCCCGCAGGGGGGAAAGGACAAAGATGCTCGTGCCGCTGGCACAGCGCTGGGCAGATTGTTCTGGGCACCCCCGAGCTGCCTCTGCCTTCCAGTGCGGGTATTCCCTGGCAGGTGTGGGAGGCTCCCTCCCCTGTCCTCGCTCCCCTCCCAAACCCTCCGTTGGGATCGGGAAGCTCCCCCGAGGTGAATCCCAGCCTCAGCCGAGCCTTCAGTGGTGCACCCACGCACCAGGCGCTTCGGGCTGTGGACTTGTACCAGTTTAACATTATCCCGTTCCTACAAAATTAATGAAACGTTTGAATTATTCACCGTTCACTTTTATAGAGCAGGAGCGAGCGAAAGCGGGGGGCTTTGCTCTGGGGGAGTTTAGGGGGAGTCGAGCGATGCTTTTCAGGCGCAGAATTTTACATTCTTCTTAAACAAAAGTGCGTAGCTCTGCTTTTCAGAGCTCCAGGTTTGAATTTGGATTGAAAATCTTGTGATGGTACCAAATAGCTTCATAGCACAGACAGCTCTCGAAGCTGAGAAACCAGAAATTAAACTGAAATTCATAATCCAAACCCTTGTTATATGTGGAATCTCAGTGCCTATGTATATACATACATACACACACACACACATATATATATATATATATAAATCCTAACCCTTGTTGTATAGGAATCTCAGTGCTCTCAGTCTGCACAAGCCAGATATTTTGAAAACTTGGTGACCCAAACCAAACAAATAACACCCCATACACACACAAAAACCCCCACCCAAACAAACAAAACCGAAACAAAACAAAAAGCCCTCCCCCAAAAAAACCAAACAACCAACAAGAACAACAAAAATTGCTTGTATTTTGCAGTAGTGTCACTGAGGTAACATATCAGCAGAGTTCTGTATTTGACAATACAGGAAAAAAGAATCTTAAGCCATACTTCTCTCTCTTTTGCTGTTTCAACATTAATCACTAGCAAGCAAAGAAGTCATTATCTCAGCTGTATGATTAAATCTTCATATATCTACTAAAAAGGCGTAACAGTACTCTAGACATTTCTCATTTTGATGCAAAAAAACGAATGCACATCTTCTGAAAAGCCGTGTTCCCACAATGTAAAGCGATTTGTTACACAGGAAGGATGGTGCCAGTGCCTCTGTAAGGGCAGTGCTGCAAACCATTTTCTACTGTGGTGATGAGCAGCAGGTTTCCTCTGTCTTAAACTGCCCTGACATGTGGTATTTAACATAAATTAAGTGTTTCAACCTCCTTTTTTGATGTCAGGGCCAGTCTCTGAGAGCCTCCAAGGATGATTCTCTGGATTAAAAAAAAAAAAAAAGGCTTTAATTCCATTAAGCTTTTTGTAAAACTTTGCATTGCAAATTAGGACAAGATGTTGCAGACCTGAAAGCCTGCACTATTTCATTTCAAAAATTGTTAAATGAGAGCATTTCAAACATTTGTGAAATGAGATGCTGTTTCTGAGCTGCAGGCTTAGTTATTTCACAAACTCCTTCTGTAAAGTCTTAAAGTTAAACAAGTTTGGAGAAGCCTTTGAGAACTGGACCTTCTGTGGCAATCCACAGGACTGGAGAAATCAAATATGACTGTATTTACCAATTTATTTTCCTTTTCAGAGAAATATATTTATATTCAGGTAGCCATAAAATTTGTGTGTTGTGTTTATAAGCAATAATACAAGTCTCAACATAGGACTGTAGGATACAAGTGCAGTATTTCATGAAGTGGTTAATGATGGTAATAGTTTAATCTCATTGGGGTGAGGATATGAGGGAAAGTGGAATGTGCATGTTCATTGGAAGTGACATGACACTTCTGAGCTGTTTGGGTCTTTTGTATTGGGGGAAGTGGAGTTTTATGACATATGTAATAAGTTTTTCCTTCTAACATTAACAATGGCTTAGATCTGCAGGGTTCCTGAAATATTTACGTGTAGATGTTGGGCCTACCTTTGTTTCTCAGGGTGAATGTAGCAGTATTTTCACTGCTGGTAGCCAAAAGGCCTTTTTGATTTCCTGCCACTCCTGGGGTTCTAAACAGATTTCTTCATGAAGAAGTCTTTATGTGTGACAACTCACAGAGAACAAACCTGAGCTGCAGTTTTTATCTGTCTGTTCAGAAAAATGTAAAATTATAGAAAATATGTACATTTCAATTAGATTAAGTGTTTGGGGTCTAGTCTTAAAGGTTTTTCCTCCTTTTTCTGCCACTAACATATCTTTCCTTGTCCCAAGTGAACATAAATTCCAGCAATTTATTTCATCCACCACACCCTTTAGTCCCTTCTTCCCTTCTTCCCCTTCTTCTTTTCTCTCCCCTGTGATAAAGGCAGGTACAGCCACACTCTAAAAAAGCAGCCCAGCAAGCAGAGAACAAGCTCTTGAGACTAAAACTTGAAAACTGGGGTTTATAAGCACTAAAAGAATAATGATACAGTCTTATGATTGTGATGGAATAATTATTGGGAAAGAGTGCAAAGGCAAAAAAAAAAAAAAGGTTGAGACATCACCTGGAGAGCACAAAGCTTTAATATTTTGGCTTTAAAAGGAGTTTCTGTGTGTAAGACTTGAGATTTCCTATGGAATTCTTTCAGAACAAGTATTTAGTTTTAATTAGCAGGGTGGTATCTTGGTTAATGGCATTCCTTGGATTCTTCAGTGGCTGTGAAATGCTGAGGCCTTATTAAGGAAGAACATAGAGGAAAAAAGGAGCCAGAGGAGACGAACACACTTTCCCAATTCCCCAAATTGAATGTTCCAAGGATGTATGTTCATGGTTTTCAACTTGAAAATGTGCTGTTAATGGGAAGAGCACAAAGAGTGTTTATGGGAATGCAGTGGGGCATTCAGGGCTGTAGCTGATCCCAGGTTGGGGCTGTGCTGCCACCAGCATCACTCTGAGCTCGGTCACAGCTCTGCAGCTCCTTGGGCTCACTCCTGCTGCTCTGGGAATGCTTGTTATGGCACTGGCTTGGCCACAACTGCTTCGTGCTTCTGTGAATTTATCAAAAAATGAGTAGAAGTTCAGAAAAAATAAGTAGAAGATGCTTCTAAGCCAACATAAAAGTGCTGTGCTTGGAGATGCAGCAGTGATTCAGCCCATACTTTCAACCAATTTAGCTGCTTAACAATTCTTGTGTAACTACAGTCCTGGTTTGGAGAATGGAGGATATTCAGTGTGAAGCAGAGTCCTGGTAATGCAAGGTGTAAACACCTTGTCTGCTCTTTATACATGAAATACATGTAGAATATGTGATAAGCTACATGGAGTCAGGCTGGTGGCACATCCAGCTCAGTGTCCTGCCTCCAGCAGTGGCCAGAAGTGATCAAGGGAAAAGCAGAAATTCAGTAGTGTCCTTAGATATCCTAAAGGAGCCCACATTAAATATGCAAAATACTAAACCCCCTCTAATAGCCCTCCATAAATCTAAACTAACTCCGTGCTCAGCTGACTCCCAGTTACTGGTAATGCAAATATTGATAGAATTCAAAACTACTGGCATCTGGAATTAACAGATTCATCTGATTAAATGAATAATAAATCATCTCATGTTACTTCTAACAGTAACACATTCAGTATTTGCATATGCTGTGAATGAGGGTTGTCAAAGACATGCAAACTAGAGGCTGAGAAATAAAGCTTCTAGATAAATAGAGATTTTGAAATATAAAAGGCCATATAGACTTGGTCTTTGCTGACACCCCAACTGCATTTACCCATTTTTCTGTTTAGTTCCCCCCCAAAAAAAACTTTTAGAGAAAACCTTTTCAGACAGTTCATAGAGAACTTCCAGTATCACATTCCCTTAGTCCTCAGAACAAAGTTGTATCACGCAAGAGATCTAATTCTTATGCTGTGTATACACTCAAAACACACACTGTAAACTGAATAAATAGCTCTATAAAAAGCTGCAAGAGGTCATGGATGGCACTCTGCTCTTAAAAGGGGCCATGTCTAATCTTCTTTTATTTTCACAGATAAATATTATGTTCCTAGGTTTATAATTTTGAAACAGTTCAAAAGAATTTAGTCACAGTAAATTCCAGTGAGAGGGAACATCCTAAATGCTCAAAAACACCAATTCTACACAGTTACATTTTTGCCTCTGCAGTGCTATTTCTAGCAACTGTGTTGGAGGTCTCTGGAATGTGTTCATGCGGGAATCCAGTCCTAGAAACAGAATTTTAAAATTAATTTTGATACTTGAAAAATGCTGTGACTTCCTCTGAGGGAAAGTAGCATAAACAGAAAGGAAATTTCAAAAGGAAAAACACAGCAACAAGTATCTGTATCTAAAGCCTTGTTTGGCTTGTTTATATCTTCCCACCTGCACATTTAAATCTAATAAACAGTCTGCCCTCCTAGTGTGAAGCTCATCTCCCCTATTTCCTCGCATACTTGCACTTCCAGAAGCATTTTGAAATTACCAAATTATTAAAACTCAACAGAGGGTTAATTAGGATTGTCACAGGAACATTAGCTGCAGGTACAAACCCAATTATTTCATTAAAAAGACTATTCTTTTATGCTCATAGCTAAATAAATCCTGCTTTATTCCTTATGCCTAAATCAAGCTAGTCCTGTGCTGTGGCTGCATTCTTCATTTTCTGAACTAAAGCTGGAACTAATTTGCCAAAGTGGGATTTTCAATACATTAAGCACTTAAAATCCATAGCAACGGGCGAAAAGAGAATACATTCTAAATCCTTTTTTGGGGACTTTAACTGAAAAATAAAATAGTACATAACCTATTGAAATAGTCTAAATGGCTGTAGACAAAATCTGAAACATACTTTTGGAGTAAAGATACTCCGAGTTCTGAACAGAATAAATTCGTACATTCACTGCTACTTAAAAAAATGTTTCCAGTTAAAAGATTAAACCTTTCTTTGATATCAGGCTCCAC